TATCCCCACCATCATCTTCTCAATCCGCTTAAGCAAATCCTTGGGATCAGACGCAGTCGTATACCCCCAATCCCTCTTCCTATCTTCCTCTTCCCCAGCACCAGCAGCACCAGCAGCCTCGCGCGCAATATTCACGCCCCCAAACTCCGTACAGATAACCGGTGCACCAGGCGTATGCTGCGACCCTGGATCCCCCAGCGCATGAATGGGCGCCAGAAACGTCGGACGATTGGATTTCTTCTTCAGAATAGCATCGAGCGACGCACACGTCACTGTCAGTTTGTCTGCATCAGCATAGTCATGGAAGGTAGTCAGATCCGTAACTACGTGTTCCCAGCCACAGTTGTCGTTGATGGGACGCGTGGGGTCGAGGACTTTGGTCGCATAGTAGAGACTTCTGATGTGGTCTCGTTGGCGCTTGCTGGTATGTAAATCGGTGTACGCCCACGATTCGTTGACGGGGGTCCACGCGACGACGCAGGGGTGATTGCGATCGCGGAGGACGGCTTCACGCCATTCTTGATCCATGCGGTCGACGTAGGCTTCTGAGAAGGCGTATGCGTTTGCCATTTCCCCCCACACGAGGAAGCCGAGGCGGTCGGCGTAGTAGTGGAATAAGGGGTCTTCGACTTTTTGGTGCTTGCGGCAGCCGTTGAAACCCATTTTTTTGCTGAGGGAGATGTCGAGTTGCAGGGCGGAGGGGGAAGGGGGGGTCATGAAGGTGGAGGGCCAGTAGCCTTGGTCAAGGAAAAGGGCTTGGAAGTAGGGGCGATTATTGAGGCGGAAGGTTGAGTTGGACCAGTGGAGGGAGCGCATGCCGGTTGTTGTGTGGATGGTGTCGATGGGGGTGGCGTCTGAAGAGCGGTAGAGGCGGATGATTAGGTCGTAGAGGGTTGGGTGGTCGGGGGACCATAAGGCGAGGTTGTTGAGCCAGGCTTTGGGGTCGGAGAGTGGAGCAGCGGATATGAGGGTTTGTGGTAGCTGTGATATCTGAGTGTCGTTCAAACGCATATTCGTCTTCAAAGTGACTGTGTCTGCGTCGTGGGGTAGGGCAGTCTTTTCAGTCTTGCTGATGAGAACACCACCTAAACTGGCTTCGAGCTCCACGCTGTAGTCGTGGCCTGCTAGTCTTCCAAGAACCTTGATGTTGGCTTCCAAATTTCCTCCTTCGATATCGTTGCTCTTCAGTAGTGTGCCTGCACTCGCATCTCCTAGTCTGACAGCGGGAACTGATTCCAGCCACACGTTTTGCCAGATGCCTCCGCTAGGCGTGTAGAAGATACTTTCAGGCTGTGCCTTCCAGTACTGCTTTCCGCGGGGCTGGGTCAAATCGTGAGCAGAATCGAAAACTCGCACCGTCAGCCTCTGCGTCTTCCCCTGTGCAAAAGCATCCGTGATGTCAACATCGAATGGTACGTGTCCACCACGATGACCACCGAAAAAGCTACCATTGACCCAAATCTTGGCCTCATAATCGACAGCACCGAATCTGAGGATAACACGGTCTCCAGCAGTCTTGCCCTGTTCAGATCTCGGATCCTCAATCATCCTTTCATACCACAGCACCTCGTGCACGCCCTTTTCATTGATGCCCGAAGCAGGACATTGGAATACAAACGGGACTTGGATATCTCTTTTCTCATGCACAGTATGCTCGTTTTTAAATTTGTTGCCTTGCAGCAGCTCCTGAGTACCAGCAGCGATCTTGGCCGTGATACTGTGCGCCTCGGTGTTCTCGGCACTATTGGTGTTGGTGGGGTTCACGGTGATCTTGTCCGGTAGTTGGGTCAAGTGCCATCCCTGGCTGAGACCAACGTCGTTATCATCGAAGAGGAATGACCATGGACCGTTTAGGGATTGCCATGATAGGTCCTCGCGGAGGAAGTCTGGGCGAGGGTATGTTGGTGGGGGTGCTGGAGGCATACTTGTGTTGTGAGTATGAGTGTGGATGGAATTAAGATGAAGTGTTATCTTCAATTGAGATCACTGTATATGTAAAAGTTAGCATGCACGTGAGATTTGACGCAGTAAGGTGGAGGTGTGGGGGGGATACACTGGGCCCAACACGTAAGTACCACGCTCGTTTGGGACTAGGGCGAGTTGGAGTACCTCTTCCCCGCTCGCAACCTCCTATCCACCTGAGCTTCTCGTGCTCGAAAGAACACGATATTGCATATTGCGAAATTTGGCATATCGAATTGCTTAAAATTGGTTAGACATGACATCATGACAAGTAACCGACAGTGCTGTGGATGTTAGTGTAGAATCCCCCACTTTGAAGGTATTTATGGTAGCTGTTCCAGACATAATAGAGTCGTCGAGACGTTTCAATCCTCTAGACAATTTGTGATGATCATAAGTGCGCTACTCATAGAACCTAAACTATCATATGAAAAATGTACGTGGTATCACATTACATACGACGAGTTGTTACTTCATAGCGTACTGAATATTTGTCCAAATTTGTTTAAATATTTCTTTCCTGATTTTAATCAAGAGGCCAGTACTCGTGTATTCCCTTTTGGTTTTTCCACCGCATGAAGTAACAGCAGAAAGGAAAAAACAGTGTATTCACTGCCCCCCACGCGATTAGAATGCCAAAGTCCAGACCAAGACGCGAGTGTAGGTCGAACAGAATCGAGCGACTTCCTTCGACAACTGTCGCACATGTTAGCTTCAACAAATCGCCATATCAAGAGAACAAATGAGAACAATCGGGACTTACTGGAATGCAATGGCCATGCATATCCCCACCTATAAAATGCCGGCGCAATCTCAATGTCGTAGAACGAAGTAGAAACATTCGTGATGACCCAGAAGATCAAAAACAGTCCCATCCACGGCATACCCACAACCATAGCAACATTCTCACACGCCAGACCCAGCGCAATCATACCAAGAAAGTTTAGCATCCAGTACACGACAAAAGTTGCATGTCCAAAAGCCACTGGATTGCCCTCGCTCTCAATGGTAGCCTGAGTATGACTAGTTATCGAGTTGGTGTGAAAAAAGTTGATTTGAAAAGCCATACTGACGAAAGAGTAGGCAAGAGAGAGCATGAAGTACGCCGAGATGGTAGCGCACCAGCGCCAGATGATCAATTGGGGGAATTTCAGCGGTGGGTGGTTGGTAGGCGTGACGTATTGCATATGGATGGGCATGTAGAAGGAGAAGCTGAAGAAGGATATGATTATGAGATCTGCCGATCCATATTAGCATTGCAATGTCAAGAAAAGGGGAGGAGCGTGTGTGGGAGCGTAGGATACTTACAAATGAGACCGATAGAAACAGCAGGAATACTCGTATAAGGGAAGAACGGCCTGAGATTGAATTCAGAAAATCCAATCGCGGGATTGATTGCTTGTGGCACGCTTTGCATGTTCGATAGAATAGATGGGTCACTGGCATTCTGAAGTACCATCTGCGCCCACTGTCTACCGACCATGCTCTGCGCTTCCGTTGTGAAAGCGCTGATGAGTGGCAGCATGAAATCGTACCAGTTCGTGTCATCTCTCGAGTCCTGGTAGATCAATTGGCAGGCTCCAAGAGGTTCATAAGATGAGTTTCCGTTTGCAATGGCAGAGTACAGCAGAGCACTGGCATTCGGGTTGATGACAATGGCGGCCCAGGCATCCCATTCATACACTGCTTCCCGTACACGCATAGGATCGTTATTGAAATCTGAGCCTGGTCGTGTTCCCCATCCTAGTGTTGGTTGGCCGCTGCTCAATTGTTGTTGGACGAGTTGTGTAATGGTTGGTCCGACAAATGGCGCATTCCCAGTATTGTCGTATGGTGCGGCACCATCCATGTCTACGACATAGACCAACAAATGATCGAGTCTTTGCTCGACTTGGAAAAAGACGCCCCAGTATATCGATAACACAGCGAGGATGAATGCCATGAGAAACGCAGTCGTAATGATCCATTTTGCAAATGCGCGGTTACGGACTTGTCGAAGATCTGGGTGCCAGAAGCCTACCGGTTCTTTGTTAGGCTCTTGGGACTTCTTTTCATTTCCTTTCCCATGCTCCGCTTCAGTAGGTGAGGCTTTCCCGCGCCTGGTTTCTGGATGACCGTTTGTGCCCTCTTCCGCGTTGATTTGCGCCGGGGAGCGGAATGCGCGTGGTAATCGCATCGATGGAATAGTAAAGAATCGACAACGAAGGCAATCAACCAACACTGATATTAGATCTTTTTGCGCAATAGAAGATTGCAGACTGCCAAGAAACAAAGAAGCTTGTTGTCACTTGGAAAATGCGTGGCGATGGGCTGCTGCTTTTATTATGGGTACTCGTCCGAGGAATCGGTTCTCAATACCATAAAATCTATGACGTACGTAGAAGCAGAATTCGTTTCAATGTTCATGACGTTCTGTATCTACCAGATCCTAGCTCAATGCTTAGCTCCGCAAATAACGAAATTGAGGTCTAGCTCTGCGCCACTAGTGCTCTTAAATGAACAGACTAAGATGATTACCAACCGCGTCTACCAGACATACGTAGTGGCAGTAATTCCTAACACTTATACTTGCCAACTATCACAGCATTTGATAATACAACCATTCTTGTCCTATTTCCCTTTCTGTCTCGTGTCTGAAAGATTGATTGGTATATTCTAACTAGGGTTTGATACTCCTGAGAGTGTGGGCATAGGGACTCTCCTTCCATCATGCAATCTTTGCATCATTCGTTCATCATTCATCAAGTCGCTCAAGACATGCCTGTCGAGCCTGACATCGTCAATTTGGTGGTCTTGGATATCCTCTCCCACAATTTCGCATGACAAAGGAAAAACAAAAGGGTATTGTGCTCATTAAAGGGATATAGGGTATATCGCGAAGCAAAACGCCGCGCCTTTCAGTTTGTCGTTCATCATCCATGATTACTTCCTCATTCTCTCCAATCTAGTCGAAGTAATCTTCGTTATTGCTAACATTGAGTAGTGTTTGTGTTCATGTCGTATCTGTTTCGTGTGTATGTTCGTATCATATTTGTCGTTCAAAGATCAGGGTCTTCCTCTGTTAAAGTATCTGGTCCCGAGAGGCACTCGCTCAACTGCATCATCCTGTTCCTGCAGTGGATGATAAAGATGGCGATGGCAAGTGAGTTCCAGACGTCGTATCCCTCCTTGTTGAAGTCAAACATAGCGATCAGTCGAAGTTGGGGCTGATCCCTATTGCTGTTGCCGGGAGCATAGCTGACGAATGCCATGACGGAATGCGATGCTGTGATTCCGTAGAGTGTGGGCACTTCCGGTACAACAGAGTCTCCGCGTTGCTCAGCCTCGCCGATTTTCAAAGCGTCGTACCATAGGTCGTGCAGGCGGCCAAGCTTCTCGAGCATTTTCTCCTCACCTACACTTGGATGTACGTGTCGAGAGAAAGTGACAGTCTGGAACAGCGGAAGTTGAGACCAAAGATGGTCAACTTTACCGTCTTTCATTGCCCACTTGGTGAATGCTTTCACTGCCTTACCGATCTGAAATGCTGGGGTCCGCTTTGCTCGCGTGTGCCAGGCATCTCGTACGAAACCTCCAAGATCGAAGAGCTTGTTAAGAGCATGTTGTGCTTTATGGTATTAGTAAAGGGGGTCGCGACTATCAGAAAGTTGAGTACCTACCGCCGTATTCCGTGCCGAAGGCAGGTTTAATAAAGGCCTTGTCAAGATTTTCAGTAAAAAGGTCTTCGGGCAGAGTTTCGAAATCGTTGATCCACCCAATGGGGAGGAGAGGCTCGAAACCGCGCATCCCTAGCTTCTGAAAAAGAAACACAGCGTCCTCAGACCAGCCAGAATCACGTAATTCCTGGCCCTGCTGATCTCTTCTCCTTCGCTCCTCTTCAGCATTGATGTTCTTTTGCTGGTCCATATATGTTCCGTCATCCACCACCATGGTCTCCTCGTTCGCATCCCACTCGTCCAGTGAGGAGCCCTCCGCCCTCTGACCGGGTGTAATGGGCGACAAAGGCAACAGCGTATCACCTTCTAGGTCATCGGAGAGCATGGCCGAAGCGGGCGGAGAGGGAGGCAAAAGTGTCGCATCGATGTCGCATTGAGGACTTGGTGAGCGTGGATCTCGAGTCTTGACTGGCGCATCCGAGCTTTCCTCCGTGATCACGGGTTTGGCAGCCGCTTGATGAGCATCTGTGGTCCGAGTAGGTACCGCGGGTTTCTTGAAAGCGTAGGGTTTGTCTCGCCGTTGCTGGGTCTTACGAGGGCTCATATAACTCCAGATGCGGTCAGACACCCCACGAAGGAAGGCCATGACGATAGATGGAGACTATTTTCGACGCGCACGAGCGTGTTTTCGCAAAGAGGTGCTCGGACTAGAACGAAAATCTGGGTTGAGCGGGGGTCGAGGTGTTCAATTGTTTTCGTAAGGGCGTGTTGCGGTGAAGGCGATGGTGATGGTGAAGCGGACAGGTGCACCTTTAAGGCAAGACCCAAACTATGCCTTTGTTCCCTTTTTTCTTGTAGGTGACCTTTCACTACGACTTGTCAAAGACACCGAAAGCGAGGACGAAGAGTCATTGTGAAAAGAGGGCTGGGGGGCTTATGTCCTGCATAATGCAGGAACAAGGACTCGCTGCCACGCTGTCACATGCGGGCTAAGCCGCGATAGGCTAGCCTTTGTTTTAGCATGCAGGTGCGGTGAGGATCTTATCAGATGAACTTTTAACCCCACCAAATCTTTAGACCCCACCAAAAAAGAGTTGAGCCGCGTCTAGAGGCGATCCTCTGTTCTTGTCTTCTGTCACTCAACACCCTATTATCCAACCAACAACATGGCTGTTACCGAACAAGACACACAGGTTGTAGCCCTGCGCAAGATCCTCACATCGGAATCGGAGCCCCTCGCCCGACGATTCCGTGCTCTCTTCTCTTTGAAGTACCTAGCAGGCCTGAATCCGCCCACCGAACAAACAGTCCCCGCAATCGAAGCCATTGGCGCCGCTTTCTCTTCACCGTCTGCTCTTCTGAAGCATGAGCTCGCCTACTGCCTGGGTCAATCTGGCCATGATGCTGCTATTGCACCGCTAAGGGCTGTCTTGCAAGACAAGGAGGAAGACTCTATGTGCAGGCACGAGGCTGCGGAGGCACTAGGTGCATTAAGCGACAAGGGGAGTTTGGATCTACTGAAGCAGTTGAGAGATGACGTTCAAGAGGTCGACGTTGTGCGCGAAACGTGCGATATTGCTGTCGATCGCATCGAATGGGATCATGGGCTACAGAAGGGACAAGAGAAGCTCAAGAAGAGGTATGTGCGCAAGGAGTTTCAGGGTATGTTGTATATGCTAAGCATTGTACAGTGATTTCACATCAATCGACCCTGCGCCGCCGCTACCACAGGGCACTGAGAAGCCATCGATACCAGAACTTGAAAAGACACTACTTGATACATCCTTGCCCCTGTTCCAGCGGTACCGGGCCATGTTCGCGCTACGCGATCTTTCCTCGCCACCCGATCTCCCAACTGCTGTCCCGGCTGTAAAAGCGCTCGCCCGCGGTTTCAGCGATCCGTCCGCTCTCTTCCGCCATGAAATCGCATTCGTTTTCGGACAGCTCTCACATCCTGCGTCGATTCCCAGTCTGACAGAGGCACTGAGTAACACAAACGAGGCTAGTATGGTCCGCCATGAAGCTGCGGAGGCGCTGGGCAGTTTGGGTGACGAGGAAGGCGTTGAGGAAACTTTGCGCAAATTCTTGAATGATCCAGAACAGGTTGTACGAGACAGTGTTATTGTTGCGCTCGATATGGCAGAGTTCGAGAAGAATGGGGAGATGGAGTACGCCATTGTGCCACAGGTTGCTGCGGCTTAGAAGTGGCAGCACGTTGCATAAGCATGGCGTTTGGGTTACATAAAGTTCAACGAGGCCATTGTACTTGTACAGCCCAATTCAGTTGTTCGTGTTCCACCTGTAAGATAACTATCAGTACGATTTTGAATTTGAAAACGATTGCGCAGACGTACTTGTGACCGCAATCACACTCGTAAAAGACAGTGGTACCCTCATCTGCACTTCGCAGTTGTTGGGTGTAGTATCGCACTTGCTCTCTTCCACATTTTTCGCATGGGTGGTTGATTATACTGGTGGTTTGTACGTCTTCCTCCGAAATGGTCTGCACCTCGGATCTCTTCGCGCGCAGGGAAGAAGGAAAAGCGGTAGGCTTGGAGACAGTAACAACAGTCTTTGACGACGTATCCTTATTATGCGCACCACAGACACCGCATGTCAGGACTATGTTCTGTTGTTGCTTCCCCACAGAACCGTCCAACAAGTTACCGCAATCTGTGCAAAAGACAAGAGATCCTATATATGTTGTCAGTAAACACCTCATATCGTGCATACATGTGGAGCATTACTAACCAATAGCTGACATGGTGGGCAGTGTACCGTCGTGAAGATGATGATGATGATGTGGAGATGGAAAAAAGTTACGGGGAATCGCGACTTCCGCGGCTGCGCCAAGCTAGTCTGAAAGGGGTAGGCGGTCAGAACGCGTCCGACTGTCAGGACGATTCGATCATAGGTACTTTCACCCCGGAGCCGCCACAGCGTAGCAGACAACAGAGCGTATCGCTCGCGTGAAGGATCAGAGGAGGGCAAAAGGATCGCATCATCAGACGATGCACGCCGAGACTTTGCAATAGCGATTGTTCGACTTCGCCCCCAGAACGTACACTGTCGGCGCCTACTCTACGGTTGTTTGCTCCTCCGACTCCTCAGCCCATCAAGCGCGACCGCAATGAATGGAGATTGGCACAACATCAACGGCGGGGGACTCCCATTCCGGAGACCCCCTCCAACTGTTGACGATGCTCTCCCATATTCGCCCTTTACCTCGATTATCCCATTCTCACCGGGTGAGTCGCTCTCCCTCACCTGCCCATCTTAGATGCGCCAGGCTCTCTCATTCTTTACGGCAGAAAACTGATGGACATATAGATATAATACCTTTTCCTACGGCCGAGCCTCCAACTCCACCCACAACCTTGACTCCAGATCAACAAAAGGCCGCAAAGAAAGCCGTGGGCATCTTGAACGACGAAATCGAGGGCCAGTCTACTGCGCAACACCTACACGATACCTTGAAGCAGCTCCGCAATCTTCTCCATCGGGACAAACTACCAGAGTAGTGAGTGTGCTCTGGATTTTGACTGAGAAGCAGTCCCTAACGGTCATAGCCACTTCAAGCCCATGCCGCAATTAGCGACGCCTCCTCCAGACAGTCCTGTCAAAGGCACAAATGGAGAGTCTTCGGGGTACACGCCTGCGCTTAGCCCATTTGCGCGCATGCTGTTGAAACAGACGGATATCACGTTTACAAGTAGGTCTCTGTGTCACTCGATTATACTCCTACTGACATGGCTAGCACCGAGTGTCGGGGCATCCGAACGACCTCGCAAAGAGCGCTCCCCTCCCAGACAACCCGCTGCTCCGCAACCAGTTCGTGTGGCGCCACAAATCGCTTCCACTCCCAATGGCAGTGCCCATGCTCGAAACGCAGATCTCCCGTACCCGTCCAGCGCTCTTTCATCCGCTCCAAGTAGCACGCCTGTTCGGCCTCCAGGACCGGCTGTGATTATAAAGCCAAAATCTGTTTCGCGAGAAGAGTTCAGATACATTGATAGCATCAATACATCGGAAAATTTGTCGCAAAAGCAGGAAGACAAAAGAGCAGAGGGTGGGGCTGCTGTTCTAAGACCTCATGAACGAGAGATCGCGGACGGGAAGATTGATCTGCTAGAGACACTCGTTACAAACCTAACAGAGGACAAGGACGACCTCGATGGGTCGCAGCATTTCAGAAAGATAATAACCCCTGATGGCGAATTCAACGTACTCAAATCGCGGTCAATGGACAACCTCTCAGAAAAGATGTCAGGTGTAGTCAGTCTAGGACGCTTTGATGCACTCCCTGTAGAACTGGTCATGCAGATACAATCGCTCCTTCATCCTACTGTTCTGTCAACAACCAAGAACGGGCTTTTTTCACGGGATGAGGCTACTTTGGAGCTTACTGAGAGCATCACAACTGCCAAATTTGCGTTGAAATCTTCGAAGCTTCTACTGGAGACTATGATTGAAGGGCGCGACGACTACCGCATGCGACGAGAAGAAATCGTCGATACCATCATCGATCTCATAAAGCTAGTCAAAGACGCATGTATCATTCCCATCGTCCAATCGCGGCGATCGGGCGAGTCTCAAGATCTTTTCAACGCTGCCTCGGCTTACAGACAAGACCTACAAGCAGTATTGCGCCTATCCGGAGCTGTGCTTACTCGGTTTGCAACAGTCATAGGCAAATACAATTTGTCTGACCGAGCTCTCAACACCCTGGAATACCTGACACTTGAACTTCTAGTGGAGCAAAATAGCGAAAGTGAAAAAGACTCTGTTTTCACCATTAGGAAGTTTGAACACTTTCGCCAGAAGGCGATGGATGTTCTGGCTCAGATCTTTGCGAGATATCCAGATCAACGGACGTCAATCCTCAGCGGAATTTTCAGCAATTTGGAAAAGCTTCCTGATAAGAAGGCAAGCGCCAGGCAATTTGTATCTGCTCGAGAAATGCCTATCATGACGATTTCCGCGCTGTTCATGCGTTTCGTTCAGGTTGTTGCGACAAACCCTGGTCCTCGTACTACATCATCGACCGACAGCGAGATCAAGGACGTGATAGTTGAGGATGATGTCAGCGACTACGAGCCAGGCACTTCTACAAAGATAGTGAAGAAGGTGAACAAGGGTAGAGGTACCCCAACGTTCATTGCGCAGAATCTAACTACAACGGCTACCAACACCGCCTCCTTCATTGTAACTCAACTCTGCGAGCGTGCGTCAAACACTTCGAAGTCTGGCGACAAGCCATTCCGCAATCTTCTGGATCTCTTCATCGATGATTTCTGCAACGTTCTCGGGTCTCCTCAATGGCCAGCTGCTGTAATGCTTCTACAGGTTCTTTTGGTACGAATGAGAACGATACTCCAGGATGACCAAGCAAATAAGCACTCTGTAGTCGACAAAGATATGGCTCTTACGACAATGGCGAGGATAGGCTGTGGTGTGATTGACTTCAAAGACCAGCTGAAGAAGCTGAAACAAAGGCTAGATGTTTCGCAATCGGACTTGTCGTCGAACCTAGATCGACTCGTGAATGACGCCATGAGTGAGGATCAAAAGGAACGCGTTAATGACGTGGATCTACTTGCCTTTGACGGTCCTTACCGCATGGTCATTGAATCTTTGGTTGAATATCTGGACCTTCGACCATCCCAGGAAGACCCTCACCTTCAAGCAACAACTGGCTGTTATGTTAGTTCCTGGCTCACGGCTGTCACAAAGGCATTCCCTGAACCAAACCAAGAAAGCCGCCCAGAGCCTATCCAAATAGTTCAGCAATGCTTAGAGAGTATGATCGTCGACCCCAAATGGCTGGCTCGGAAATAGTAAGTGGCACGATTCATGAAGTCACTCCGTAACTAACCTTGAATGATAGCAAATTTCAACCGGTATCAGACGATCAAAGCAAACTGGCTGCTGGTATAATCACGCTCCAAAGTCAAGTGTGCAGATACCTCTCGCAGATCGTCAACTTTATGCAACTCTACGCTCAAGACAAAATTTCACCTAAGCTTCGATCACGAGGAACTACGGCATTGCAGCAACTTCTAGACAAAGACCCCAAGGTTATTTCTGAGGGCCATGTCATCAACATGATCTCCTCGCTCAGGGACAGCTCACCCATGGTTCGTGAAGCGACATTATCATTACTGTCTAATTGCTTGGCCAAGGAGCCCTCTCTTGAACGCCATGTCCTGCCACAGATATTGGATATGACGACCGATCCTTCGAATGGACCGAAGAAGAAGGCAATCAAGCTTCTCAAAGAGATTTACCTCCGTTCCAACTCAAAACAGGTTCGACTGAAGATTGCTGCTCCGTTACTTCTTCCTTCGCAAGATGATGAGAGCACAATTGCGGAACTGGGTCGGAACGTACTTGAAGAGATCTGGTTGACCACTGCTAGCTCGGGTACGAAAACTGATGATAGTCAGCACCGTCTGAACCGTGAGCAGAGAGCAGCATTCATGGTGGACCTCCTGGAATCTGTAGGCCAAAGCACAGTGCACTTGGAGGCTTTCGAAAAGTTCTTCATTCATTGTGTATCACCTGAATCTAAAGCACCTGCTGCAAACCTGCGCATATGTGGAGAGCTTGTCGCAGATTTAGTCGATGAAGTCATTGATCCAGGAAATGGAACAGACAACAAGTCCCAGACGCGTGTCATGAACACCCTGAGTGTCTTCGCAAGGATCAAGCCTACGCTATTCTCAGTTGACTACCTCCGGCATCTGAAACTTTACATCAAGACGATTGTTAATACAGACGACGTCGCCCTTGTACGGCCAACGGTTGTGGTTTTCCGTCATGTCCTGCCAACGCTTCCTTCACTTCAACATGCTTTTGCGGAAGAGATTCGGGGAAGTCTGATGCGTAACGTCCCGAAGCTAGCGAAATTCGCATCCTTGGGTTGGCCTACAAGTCGCGAGACTCTTCTCGACGTCGTCCATTGTTTGTGGGCAATCAGTGGGATTTCCAGCATAGGTGCCGAAAAGATCTTCGTTACCACCTGCTCTGTGATCAGCCAACTCCGCCCGTTATTGTCATCGGCCAATGTATTGGCATCAGCTAAGGAGTCGGCAGTGGAAAAGGAGAAAGAGGATGCCACCAAGTTGAAAGAGAAGATACTTTCATATCTAATCTTGCTGGGTGCTTTTGGCCAAGTTTGCAGTCTTGATCAACATGCCGAACCTTTCGTGGCTAAGCTCCGCGCTACCATCAGCAAGAACGAGGCCCTCAAGAAGCAGATGGAACCATCCCTGAATCAAAAGTCGCCACCTCCGCCGTCGCTCCTCCTGCTGGATACTGTTCGGCCCTTCACTATGCAGGCTTGGGAGCTAGACATTCGCGAGCAAGCATTGCAAAGTATGGGTGGCATTTGCCAGCAGTCACCGGAGCATTTTATGCGCTCTGAAGTGGAGAAGGTGGTGAAACTCGTCTTCATCAACGAGGACAATCACTCCCTGAGGCATGTCGCGCTCTCTTTCTTCAGACAGTTTTTTACTGTTGCCGAACGGCGTTCCGAAACAGGCGCACAAATCGCCATTGGCAAAGGAGCTGTGAATGGCTCAGCTCGATTGGAAACTTCGTTCGCGGCCACTGGAAATGACCAAGCAACTCTACATCTAGCCCAGAGATTTTTAGAGGACTTTGTGAAAGCTGCTTTACAAAACAAGAACGAGCTCGCTGTAATCGCCACAGACATCATTGCGAGTATCAGTCGCCAAGGACTTGTTCATCCGAAGGAGTGTGGTGCCGCACTTGTGGCCTTGGCTACTTCACCGAACAAAAGCTTGGCCCAGGTGGCAGGCGACGAACACAGGCGTATTCATGAGAAGCAAGAGTCGTATCTGGAGAAAGAATACATGCAGGCCATACACATGGCCTTCAGATATCAACTGGATTTGTTCAACGATCCACGAGGAATGGTCGAAGCTACCCATACTCCGAAGCTTGCCAAGCTTTTCGAGGCGCTGAAGACTGGCAAGAAGGCAAGCCTGAAGAAGTTCATCGCCAACTTCTGCAAGCAAATTGACTTTGACCTCTCCAAACTGGATGCTAGTGGTCCTGTGCCAGAGGCTATCCTATACGCTCGTTTCTGTCTGGAGAACCTGGCCTTGCTGGACTTTCCGCACCAAGAGGAACTAGCAGTGTTCCTCAACGCAGTCGAAGCGATGGTACTGAACACAACCGGACCTGCAGTGGGAGTCGTCATCGCAGAAGAACTTCCAAAACAATACATTCAGGTGGAACAGCCACAGCCAATGGACCCGTTTCAGCAACATATGCTGGCTGCTGGACCTATGAATGGAATGTTACCATCGCAACCGCTACCACCAGTGATTCAAACTGTGCCTCAGCTCGCACCACCAAATATCGACGACGGCCGCCTTCGCCAAATCGCAACGGCCTGTACAATTCTCCAGATGGTATGGGAGACTCGCAGTTTCATTCGGCGATGGTATGGCATCAAACACAACGGACCTATTCCTCAAAAGGAATTTGCCAAACCTGCGACTCGCAACCACCTGGCTACTACCAGTAAAGACTTGTGGGAACGCCTATCTGGCGTCATGAGTGCCCTGGACACCCGCGAAAGCATGGTGAAGCAATGCTACGATTTTGCAGATTTATTGGACATTGATCGGGAAACTTTCATCGACGCAGACGGTGATGATAATCTGGATGCGGGATATGAGACACCCAATGATGACGGCGAGAGCAGCATACCATTCCCAACCAGTGGTCGTGGTAGAAAGCGGAAGAGCAACGTTAGCTTGGGTGGCAGTACGCCGAAAAAGTCCAAGGTCAGGCCGACAGGCTCGAAGAAGAAGAGGACCTCGCGCACGCCGGATGGTGAAGATGATTCAGACTAGGTGCCATGATCAGTTCAGCCATGATTGAAGGAGGGAGCACGAATATCTGGCACGATTAGTCATATTATGAATGAGCATTCACATACGCGATACATCAGCATCAAGCTTGCCTGGATTGACGGAGCGACTATTTACTTTTGCATCTTTTAAACAGCATTTTATCGGCGTTGAAAAAAAGGCACGTATAGCATCGATACCCTTAGCGTGCGGATCTTAGTATGCGGATTTATGTACACGGCGCGCCAGCGTTTTCATCGTAGCAAAAACCTGGGTTTCCATGAAAAATGGCGGTTTCGGACCTCAAAAGCTACAGACATGCGAAAGTAGGTTTCGGCATGTCGATATTTAGTAGTTGGAATCTAGCATATCCAGCATAGCCTAGGGTCTCTCACAGGATAACTCACGCGTGAATGGAGTAGTGACAGAGCCAACTTGAACAACTAATACTACTATTATCTACAAACCTCAAACCCAGCGAAACGAACACTTACCTTTCTTCAACTCTCCTTCCTCAAAAAGAAGAAGAAGAGACTAAACGTCCAAATAAGCTTCCGCCCACACACCCTCTTTAACAAAAGAGCAAAAAAAGACTCAATGCCCAAAACGCACAAACGCACAACCTCCCCAGAAAGCGCTGCATCTCCGTGCTTGCAGTACCCTCCACCTGCACTGCACTGTACATCTCCCCTTTTTTTTCGCCTCTACCCGCTTTTTCTGTTTTTTTCTCTCCGGTCTTATCTATCTATCTATCTACGTGTGTGTGTGCTACCAAAATCCATATCCTATCCATCTCCGACTGTCCACATGTATGTACGGATAAGGGGGGCGGGGATTCTCGATACGGGCGATGGTGGGTGGTGGCCTGAGGGACACCCCCCCACGCACCCAACGCGCGACCACTGTGAGCGTGTGGTATAATCTAGTGGGGTTGATGGGGGACTTGTGGAAAATTTAGGGGGAGGGCAACAGTGTTGGTGTTGCTGATTGTCGTATCGGGGCTGTGTGTAAGTTTGTTGGTGTTTTTCTTTCTGGTAGGTTGGCTGAAAGGGGGAGGTGGTGTGGCTGGTGCGGTACTATTGGTGGATTAAAAGGGGGGGATGATGTGGCGTTTGGGGGTGGTGATATTGGTTGTCCAGGTTTGGGGGTTGAGGGTGGGAAGGCGGATGGGGAGGGTATATGTTTGATGGGGGTACGGCTGAGAAAGAAGAATGGGGAGATGGGATTGAGAGGTTAGGAATTGAGAAGGGGAAAAGAGTGGTGGATTATGGAGACGGGTGTATGCGTGTGTTCCTGTTCGACTGTATGAATGGATGGGTTGAAGGGGTTTGGAGAAGAGATGGGAATTTGTAATAGCAGTGATTCAGATGGAATAGTAAGATTACGCATGAAGACTGGCACGTAAAGAGATGCATGAAAGGATATGGAACTCTGAAGAAAGCTTCGAGCTGATCGAAACACCTGATTCTGTCTCAACACTGCAGATACTCATAGGGACTTGCCAGGAACCCAAGGTACACAGTGCAGACAAAACGTACAAGAACACATCGATCCGAACACATCGATCCGAACATCCTCTCTGCGACGCACGCAAATATCCTGCACCGACATCTCCAATTTAGCACTATGTCGCCGCAAGCCTCCATCCACATCGCACACCGACTTCACGATGCTACTTCGAGATTGAACCTCCTCCGGAACGCAGGGCCGTCAAAAATCTGGCACTGCTTGCAGAGTAACCGAAGGGAAGAGAAAAAGGGCAAGGTTGGGTGGGTCAAAAGTACAGTGTGTCCAGAATAAAAAAGGTGTGTGAGTTTCCTGGTACGGAAAACGTCATCGGCAGTTGTAAAGAGCTCAACAACTTTTTTTTCGCGACGCCTCAAGTCTTGTTGGTTCTGTTCAGGCTATCTGGATGACTTTTCTTGGAGCCCAACGTCTTGTGAGGGTCCTATGCCGCGTAGCTGAAAGACTGAATGGCCATATGTGCGATGTGGCACTTTGACGGCACGCAGCTGGCTGGCATGAAGCGCTCGTACGCGACAAAGGAGACTGAGTAGTAAGCAAAGACGATGGGGGATTCAGTGCCAGTACCAGCATTGTCAAATATACCCTGTAGTAGCCATTCGCCCAGCAGTCACCCCATATCACTCTCAGACTCCACATTCCGCATGATCATCCTCCTCGCATCCTACCAATGTAGGAAGTCAACTCCTCGGACAAGAGCGACAAGGCGACCACCAAACTCTTTTCGCCCATGGCCCATCCCCCTTCAGCGAAAAAGCGCATGCCAGATGGGAAAAAAGACCTTTTCCATCCCTCCCTCCGCTCCCTGCCACGGCACCGTTCTCCGCAGACCATATCTGTTCAGGCACACCGCGCCAATATCCCAATGCATTGGAGTGATCAGCACTCGTTGGCCTGCGAATGCCATTGCAATTCCCCATTTCGGAATCACTAGGTGCCGTATTGGGTTAACTGGGTGTTGCGCCTAAATTGGGGGGCGGGATGAGCGCGGATCTTTTGGTTGGAGGGGCAAACCAATACAAGGTCGCTGGTTGTTGACTGCTGATATAGTGCTATATGGTCTGCACATATTCAGATATAGCTATATCACACTGGTTCTAAGAGCCTCGTTCAACATTTTGGGGTAGAAATGGTCAGGTGGTGTACTGTCGGTTTTGACTGCCGATGCGCGGTGTTTGGTTTTATTTGTTAAGTGGGTTTTTTTCCTATATGGAATGAGACGTGCAGGTGATGTGTGTGCTGAGGGTGCAGTAAGAGATGCAACGCGCGTTTGGAACAGCACAGCTGCCTTTGCCCATTGCGACAGATTGTCCTTTTACTTGTTTCGAGGATTGTTGTAGGTGCGGGAGTGATGTTGAGTGAGGCTGTTGTATACATGTGCTCAGCAGGATTGAGAAAGTGGCCATTTGCCACAAGTCGTAGTCAAACTCTAGGGGCATCGCGCTTCCCCGGAGTTTTTGCTTCAGTAGATCACTGCAGTTAGGATCGTCCTCTTACTAGGGAATACTGGTAAGATCCTTTGCTGACTGCCGCTTTCATGATGTTCGTCAGAGTCACGCCATGCTTGCCAGGCACGATAGCATCCAGGATTCATGCCCTTTCGGAACGGGATGTAGACGAGTAATACGAGGCAATTTCACCCTCACCTCAAATCGAATCTCAAGCCATGGTAATTGTCACTGCAAAAGGTACACTTTTATCGAGAATAGTGCCGGGTATATACTATGGTAATTGAGTGTCTTGGCGAAGCTGGGAAATATTTGCCGGAAACCCTGCAGCTGGCGTCTACCCCACATCCCCAGGACGGCATCAAGACCCCATGGTTTTTACTTGACTGCTGTACTGTACGAGAGTAGGCAAGGCCGAAGAAAAGAAGCTTAGCTTCGGAAGTCTTCTCGAAGACCCTGATTACGCATGGACGTCAGGGCCGATGTTCCACGAACCTGTTCTTTTATTGCAGATTTCCAAGGATGTTGTTTCAGGGGAGGGGTTGTCTCAGAGCAGCAGCTTGTATCCCAAAGTTGCAGTCGGTATGTGGAGATCCGCCTTAGTTGTGGAGGGATGCATGTATCCACGCTTGCAGCTTACGCGCCCCTTACTCTCCACAACTCCAGCATTTTTGGCGTATAACAGCGCCCTTATTGTCGAGTATAGTTTGGCGATGCTTGATATGCCCCCTCCTCCCCAGAAGCATTGTGCCAAGTACGTGATGCCGTTTGTCATGCCCGATGGAGTCGCATCGGCACGATCCTCGTACCAACTCATCTGATGTATGCCGGCCATACGGCCCCCTGATATTGCGAGGTAACAGTGGCTTGAAGCCGAGGAATCGGTCCAACGGCTCATCTGATTTCCGCATGAGATCATCCACAACATGGCAGCGTTGCGCCACATCGGGATCTTGTGACTCTGTAAAAAGCAAAATCAAAAGACATCAACGTCCAGGGAAGAAAAAAAGGGAGAACCCGAGAACGAGAGCGAAGATGGTAGCGACGGGAATTTGCATCGGAGAGAGACAAGGTTCGTTAAATCGCCTAGCTGCATGCGAAACTTGCAAGCCCCCTCGACAAAGGTAGAGATCCAGCACGTCTGATCTAGTGCCTCACATGTTGTGAATACGGCCGGTCGAAAGGCTAGATGTGGGTTGACAGACCGAGAGATCCGGGACTAAAGCACGCAATTATGATGAAGATAAAAAATACTGACAGGTGGGTAGGCGTGATTGGTCGAAAAAAGAGGCTTTGTTCGATAAAGAAAAAAACCCAGAAAGTCAGGTATAGGTAATGGACGAGCATGCTGCATTAGCGACGGATGTGTGGCATCCAGAAGTTCGGAAAGAGGAGCAAGCGTCCTGCAGGTGCTAGGGTCGTGCCGCTATATTTCCTTGGTACTTGGGTGTACCTTGTCTGAGTGGTAGTGTTTAGTTGCATGTTGCGCTGGCCTTTGCCCAAACTAGTCTTGGTCCCCTGGCAGCGCAGATGTCGTGGTGGTGGCCTTGGGGATGACAAAGCCACCAGGCGACATGGCTACGCAGAGTCGCAGCTTGTCACGATATCATCATTGCCTCAGGCCCAGGATGTCTCGGAGACATGTCCCACAAGGACATGGCGCAGCGGCTGGAGGATGATCTGAGTTTAGTAGATCCAGCATGGTACACTTACTGGCGTATGCGGTGATGCCGAATGTGACGTGCGCATTGCACGTAGTAGTCTGTAGTTGGACACTTGCCAAGTTTGACCAGAGCTGCTCGACTTGCTCCGGCGATGAAGATTGTAGTACGAGGCTGACATATGATAAGTATAGTCATCCAACGAGTAATGACGGACCGTCTTATGCCGTGCCAAGCCGAGTCCATACTGTTGTGCCACTGTTCGCTTTCTGCGGCTTGCAGCGTAAGCAGCCCTCGCTCGGGACGACCCTCCACAAAACGAAGGGCGAACGCCCTGGCCGGTGCACTGCAGTAATCTCCACTCGCCTTC